GTTTCCAATTGCGTATTTGTATGTATTTTCATCGTTTCTTTTCCGTTTCTTTTTTTAATTTAATAAACATAAGTGTTATATGTATTATGTATTTGGATATTAGAGACGGGGTAAGTTAATTTCGGGAGAAAATATTTTTTTCTTTTTCTACAGTCGTGCAAGGGTTGTGCCAGTTTTTGGATTAGCTTTCATGCACCACAAAATTCTTCTTTCAACGAAATTCTTCGAGATTAATAATCAATTAACGATAAAAAAATTAATAATGAAGGAAGATAACTATATAATTATGAAAAAATTCGTTCATTTTGAATTCCCTTAAATTTCGATTATTTTTTAAATAAAATTTTCAGATACTGATAATTAATTAACGATAAAGGAATTTATAATAAGAAGACCACTATGAAAAGAGGTTGGAGGAATGAAATTTGCTATTGAAACACATGGAATTGGACAAATTATTCGGATTCTTCCCCTAACAAAAGACGAGGCGAACGAAAGCGTCGCGGACATCCGGAGGAAATCGGTCCCTTATCGTGACTTCGAACTGTTCCGGAACCGAGACGCGGCCGAATCTCCGTTTCCGGTTCACGGGACGGCGAGAAAAAGGGGGAAGATCGATTATTGGCCGAGGGATCGACGGCGTTTGCACGATCGCTGTGGAATAGCGTTCCTTTGTGAGGCAAATGCGATTTCTCGTATAGGAACCCGCGATTCACGCTTCAAGGGGATGTAAACATTCTACGGGTATGAATTTTCGGCGACTTCTCTGATGGAATGAAAACCCTGCTGGGTCGGAATATTTGTCGACAGAACAATATGACGTACCTGCAATCTCATCCCCTATTCTTTAGATGTCTTCATGAGCGAGAAAAAAAGGGGAAAAAGGGATAAGAATTTGCATGTTGAGCGAGGGCTAATGATCCGTACTTGAAAAATTGTTGAAGAAAAATGTGGAGAAGAGTGTATGAACAAGAGAAGAAAAGAGGGTTGAAATATTAGCGATGGACAAAAGTCCAGAGAAGAGGGCACGAAGATGTGAAAAATAGTTTAATTTTCAGGGCTGAAGTTCACGTAAATTTGGGAAAAATTATTAAATTGATATACTATTTACTAAACCTAAAAATGATTAAACAATTAACTATATTATTTAATAAATCAATATTGGGATGGAAAATTAATCTATCAAGCACGTCATTTAGTAAATATATTAGGGATGAAGATATATTATATATTAAACAATAACCAATACTATTTAAAAGAAGAAAATTATCTAAATTTACTAAACCTGTTAGTCTATCAAGGCCTGGAAGAAAATGATTAAACAATTAACTATACTATTTAATAAATCAATATTGGGGTGGAAAATTAACCTACCAAGCACGTCATTTAGTAAATGTATTAGGGATGAAAATATATGATATATTAAACAATGACCAATACTATTTAGAAGAAGAAAACTAAAAATTTACTAAATCTGGTTACTCTATCAAGACCTAGAATAAAATGATTAAACAATTAACTATACTATTTAATAAATCAATATTGGGGGTAGAAAATTAACCTACCAAGCACGTCATTTAGTAAATATATTAGGTATGAAGATATATTATATGAAAAAGACTCTCCAAATTTACTAAACCTGTTAGTCTATCAAGTCTTAAAAAAAAATGATTAAACAATTAACTATACTACTTAGTAAATTAATATCAGGGATGAAAAATTGCCTACAAAGTACATCACTCAGTAAGTATATCAGGGCCAAAGGCTGCTGTATCAAAATGCAAGAAGAATTTGTCGAACAATGATCACCACTATTTACCAAAGAGGTAAATAGGGCAACACGAAAAAGACGTCTGTCTAATGCTCCTACAACATCACTGGCAACCCCCAACTAGCATGGCACTCCTCGTTTGGTTACACATTTCAACTGGCCAGGTTCATAAAACTGACCAGCGGCCATAAAAACGATCCACCCGGCAAGGAATCTCATTCATGCACCCTAAACTACCCAAAAATGTCCGAGCACTCGACCACTGCCCCCCTAACTCGAAGCAGCCAAGAAGACGTAGCCATAAATTGGAAAGAACACGCGAGGACTTATCACGAATATCTGCCGCCACCTCTAATCATCGATAAAGGAAACCGCAGAACCAAAGCGACGACACGATAGAAGGAGCAAAGGAAGGTGCAGGGAAGAGGAAGAACACGAGGCTGGCCTGTGAACAAGCGTCAAACGACACGAACCATCGAGTATTCGCAAGCACTGCGGCTGCTGTGGCACACTACCGTCTGTCTGTCCCTCCTGCCGTCCGGCTGTCAGAAGCACCGATTTTCGCAGTAACAACCGTCAGGCTCGTAATACTCCTCCGCCACCCTGTCGCAGATTGATCGTGGCCTCATCTGCACCACCTCTCCGACACCCTTCTTCTCCTCTGTCGCCTGGGACCAACGAGTCGACCTTCTGGTCGATCCGAGCCTTCGTTTCTTCCCTTCTTTGCCTTTCTCGATCTCTATCCAAGAATCTTCCGGGACTTTTTCTATATCTCGAGGAGGCTAGGTCTGTTCCTGGTCGCGTCTCGTTAGCATGCTCGAGCAAGCAGAGAGGTAAAGGGTTTCTCCTTCGCTGTCTGCGTTCTCTCGAGGATTTATTGGCTTCCTCAGGGGGAGACGGTGTCTAGGAGCTTCGATCTTCCAATGGGCTTCTGCTACGGGAAAACGGACCACGCTAGTGTCGATCGTGGTTTGGATCGCTTTCCAACGATTTTTCGGTGGCCAGCAACTGGCAAGATTCGATCGTGGCTTTTGGTTTTAGAGTTTCGGAGTTCTACTAGCAAAGACTGGACTCGTGTCTAAATATTTTTGGCAGACTGAGTTTTTGGAGTCTCGATTTTAGATTATGATTCGATAGATCGTATGGGTATGCTAATACCGGGTTATCGTCGCGATGTTCGAACGGTGATACTGTTTTCGAGCCCACTGGCGAGAGATGCATCTGATTAACGATAGAACTATCGACCTGTAACGTGGACTTAAATATAGCACGCGTGGATAATAATAATTAAAGCGGAGTGGAATTTTAATAAAGGTCAAGATCGATTTTACCAGAATGACTTTATGGTTTCAGATATTTTTTTCCTTCTTATTCTTGCAGCTATTTCTGGTGAAAATTAATTTCGACTTCTATTTAGATATTTATCCTCATTGTGCGATTTTTATTATTGAAAAATGGAAATTCATGAAAAGACACCCTTAGGGGCACAAATTCCCAGGAATTCTATTTCATGAAAATTTAACCTTAAGGTCACAAATTACTTAAAACTCTATTTCATCAAAATCTACCCTTAGCAATACAAGGTCCTAGGTATTCTGATTCATGAAAACTCAGCCCTACAGATGAAAATTCCCAATCATTCTACATCATCGAAAATCACCTTTAGGAACACGAATTCATGAAAACCCACCCTTATGAATACAAATTCCCAGGAATTCTAATTCATAAAAATTCACCCTTAAAGATAGAAATTCCCAATCATTCTACAACATCGAAAACCACCTTTAGGAACACGAATTCATAAAAACCCACCCTTAGGAATTAGAAATTCCCAGGAATCGTATTTCATCAAAACCCAGTCTTAGGGACACAAATTACCTAAAACTCTATTTCATCAAAACTCACCCTTAGAGATAAAAATTTCCAAACATTCTACTTCATCGAAAACCACCTTTAAGAATACAAATTTCCAGGAATCTTATTACATCAAAACCCAGCCTTAGGGACACAAATTACCTAAAACCCTACTTCATCAAAACCCACCCTTAGGAATGCAAATTCCCAGGAGTCCTAATTCCTCGAAAACTACCTTCAGGGTCACGAATTCCCAAAAAACGGAAATTCATGAAAGTCCACCCTTAGCAGCAGAAATTCGCCAGCTCGTCTATTTGTCGTTTATCCGAGAGCGTGTTCGAGCGACGCTCGGCGTCGAAGCATCGAGGAAAAATCGAGAGCCCGGCCTGATGGAGGAACAGAGGAACGTTTTCGCGTCGCTCGCTCGCTTTGTCACCGTTGCTCGCCTGCCCTCGCGCCCTCGCGTCTATCTATACGACACGCCGTTATTTTCGGACGCGAACGAAAATCAAAGGCATTAAGGAGGCGCACGGTGACGCCGGGCGCGTCGTCATCGCGGAAAAGACGAAGGGAGGGCAAGGACGCGGGCGAAGGGGACGTCCACGTTCGCGATTCGCCCGGGTTTCTCGGGGGTTGATGAACCGAACGACCACGTCCCGAGTACCAACGCGTAGCATCGATGATCCCGAGTGTCTTTCGTGGGTCTGGAGCGGGTTGGAAATTTTTCATCACTCCTCGAACAATTCCCTCAATTTTTCGAAAAAATTCTCCTATCCTAGGAAAATTCCTAACAATGAATATCGTTTCTCACGTGTAGACGTCACATCCGTATTTCTGGTATTTTTAACACACAGGATAGGTCATCTCGATTATCTCCGATTATCTAATTGTCGTCGTGAGGGAATAAAGATACTCGATTTTTGTTAAGATAATTACGATATTACAGACAAATGTATAATTGTGAAATTAAAGGCAAATTTGTGATACTAAAGACAGGAAAAATCAACTTATCGAAAACGAGAATTAATCAATGTGGTCCACCCTATATATCAGAACTGGAAATAGGTCTCAAAGGGGTTGCAAAATTTTGCATTAAAATTTGTAATTGATTAACGAGGTACTCTGGATGTGGACCGTGACAAATTTAATTTTTTGTAATTCTTTTAAACGAAATTTGAATTTAAATTTAATGAGAAATGGAGTTGGGGTATTTATCTAAATCACTTTCGACAAAGATATACTCATACTTGGTAAACGAGCAGAATTTTATTCGATAACGTAATATAGAGGGTTGGAACTTGTCCTCGAATTGGAAATTTCGTGTCAGGATTTGTGGATCAATTAACGAGCTAGACTAAGACAGCGTTCCTCGATATGGGTCGCGTTAAATTTTTGATGGATGGTGAAACGAAAGCCCAATTTAAGTGACAAAAAGCAGCACCGAAGTAACAGGTTTTGAAATTGGATCGTATTAAACTTTCAACAGCTGACAAAATGAATTTCAAAATTCCTACGAACCTGCGAACTATCCTATTCACCATTGGATCTCCCAAACGCTAAAAAATTTTACGTCACCAATACGATTACGAATAAATAAATCGAACCACGTGATAAAAGAAGTTTAAAAATGCTAAAAAATTTCAAAAATAACCAAAATTTTCCGTCCACAAATTGATCAATGACAAATTTCGAATATTTTTTCAAACGAATACGTGTATTAATCCCGATCGAATAAATATCGCGCTATTTAACGTGTCAATTACGTTTCCAGATCGCGAATTATGAACTAAATTATTCGGAAGATAATTTGAGAAACTGATCTCGCAGACGAAGATGATGGAGAAGTCTAGAAAGTTCTGGCGAATAGGTTACAGCGAAGGGGTTTGCGATGAAGACACGGCACGAGGTGCCTGGACTCGATGCGAGCTGGATACAAGGGGTCCTGGAGGGTGAAGAGGCATTCGAACGAGCGCACGTGTCGCGGGAAACTTCTATTTGCAAGTCGAGTTTTGGTGCGTAGTTGTCGGTAATAAATCGATGCGGATTCTGCGCGGCCGAGCTTGTTTATCACCACGCCACGACGTAGAATATCACGCATCCGACAGCTCCATCGAGCCCAAAATCCCAGAGAAGGAACGAAGCAAACTGCAACAGGACCCAAAAACCTGCACCCAAATTCTATCAGTCGTTGGTTAAAAAGAAACCAGGAAAATGCAACAAAGGCTACTACCGATCCCGAAAATCACGCTAAAAGACTCGATCCGATCAGGCGATCGCGCTGTCGTACCTGAGAACTCCGTCCAATTAGCCACGACCGAATCTCGCGAAGTCCAAGGCACCAGGATCGACGGAAAATCGAATCCCAGACAGCCACCGATGCTCGTTTCTCTCTCTCTGATACTTACTGACAGAGATCACCGCGTTCCAAAAGCACGTCGAGAAATCGGCGACCCGACCAAGCAGACTCTCTAGAAAGCGAGCTGATCGACACGCTGTTCCAGCCACGCGATCAGCTGATCCTCCTGCGAGGAGTGGATCAGTCTGAACGGATCACCTGCGCGCTTCTATCACAGTGGCCGATCGTTTCGATGCACCTAGTCGATCTCTCCAAACGACACTGATCCACTCTGGTGGCCTGCCAACGTCGCTTCACTGTAGCCCCCTTCGATCCAGGGGATCGGGCCGCTCGATCGTCGGATCGATGGGTTCCGACGCGTGGATGATCCGCGATCTCGGGGCGAGAACGTGAGCAACGAGAACGCGGGAGAAAATGGCGACGACGGAGACGCGAGTGTGAAGAAACGAGAAGAGGGCCACGGAACGAGAGTCGTCGGGTTACTATGGATCGCGATCCACCGTGCGAAGGAGAGCCGCAAGAGGGACCGTCGACGCCGGAACGACGGGTACGACGTCGGTCGTCGCGACGACACTGAGACGCCGGTCGTCGAGACGCGCGTATCTAGACGCGCGCCGAAGGCACCGCGCGGCGGCCAGGTACGGCACCCCAAACAGTTATTAATAGCCTCTGTCCTAGCTTACTAGATTTGCCCTCGAACCGACGCAACTGCCCCACCCCCCACCCGTCGCGTTCGCCACGCTTCCCCTACTGCCCAGCCGATACTCCGAGACGCTTCCCCTTTACCCCCACCGCCGCCCGCTAAGCCCTCCCCTAGCTCGCCCCTCCACGCGCCCCACCGACGGTCCTTTTGCCGCTACGCTCCGTTGAAAGATCCGAAGGGTTTTTCCACCGCTTTTCCACGTTTTTCCCGGTTTTTCCAGTGGAGCTAATCGATGGGTTTTGAGGTGACGAATGGGGTTTCGAAGAGAGGCGTTGAGGGTTTTGTTCGAGTGCGATTTTGGATCGCTTTTTGAGGTTATGAGCCTAGTGGGCTTAATAGATCGGGTTGTACTGTCTGTTACCATTTTGTTGCGACGATAGAGAGAAATCGGATCTGGGTGCACACTAAACCTAGCATAATCGATCACACAACAGGATTGACATTATACTCAACGTGGTTTAACGAAATTTGCACGACTACCAAAATTTTTGTATAACTGTATCGTGTATGAAATAAATATGTAGTGACTACGTCTAGTAAACCCCAGAATCATTGATAGTCACTAGAAGGTAACTAGAATTAGATACTTCTCTAATGCACAATTTTTCATAATTAAATTACTGCACCGTTGAGCAATATTTTCACCCATATATATACTGCAACTTTGACATCTAGTAATCCCTAGAACCACTAATAACCACTAGAAAAGAACTAGAACCAAATATCTCCCCAATTCCCAATCTTTCATACTTAAATCTCAGAACATGGAATTAATCACTACTGTGACGAACAAGTATCGTCGTTTTTAGTATAAAAAGAGTGCATTTAGCTAAATGACTATAATCACGCTTACTAGATAGTGGAGACTTGACTCCGAGTAGGTACAGTTTCTCAATGGAGGGGTTAATCTGGCTATGAAATTAGCAGAAATTCGCGGAAGATTTGCGAATATTTGCAACTATGACTGAAGAAGGAGGGTTTATGGTAAATTTCGATGGGGCTGTCATTGTTCGATAGGCGTGGAGGGGCGCAGAATTTACACTGCGACAGCAGGCGGCGGTGCCTAACAAGGGACGTCCCGCGGGACGATCGGCAAATTGCGCGAAACTCGACGAAGAAGGCTAGGTAAAATTGATTCTTGCCACGTTCCAATTCCCCGCGGAGCTTCCTGTCCTAGCCGCCGCCGCTTTCCGCGTCAATAAACCCGCGAAAAAACAATGGAACTGATTTTTCGAAGCGCTAAAAATAGAGGCGCATCGGGCCGCTGGATTCCGCGGAAATTCCCCTCTAAATCTTCCCAAAGGCGCAACGACTGTCGAATCGAGATACCAAAAGCGGATAAAAAGACATAGTAGCCTTCTACCTCTCGTGGAAGCTTCGAAAATTAACCCTTTGCCAACGAGATTTCCTATCTCCAGTAACTTTTTCCAATAAATTATTACCGATTCGATGACTTTGGGTGAGTGTCTGAAAATCTTACTAGTTAGGCCTCAATTGAGTCTCTTAATTCCGATATAAACAATTAACTTTGATGTCTAATTCCAAGAATCTTTTGCTCCAAATTCTGGGGAATCATCAGAGACCTAGGAACCTAATAGACGGAGAGTATCGTATAATTTAGAAAATATTACGAATATTCAAAAATGCCTTGAAACTACCCCCCTAATCAAAGACTAATAGTACCACTTTCAACTTACAAATCGAAGGAATTTCCTATCCCAAATCTCGCAATTCCAGTAATTCCGATTCTGGGGAATCATCAGAGACCCCAGGAACCTAATAGATGGAGAGTATCGTATAATTTAGAAAATATTACGAACGTTTAAAAATGTCTCGAAACTACCCTCCTAACTCAAACCTAATACCACCAACTTCCTACCCCGAATCTCGCAACCATAATAAATCCTTCATCAGCGAAACGAACCTCAGAAGCGGTCCATAACCTACCCCAAGCTCCAGCAAAGCTGTGCCTCTTGGCATCAAACGATCCAAGACATTCCTAGGGATCCACCCTGCCACGAGAGCCCTCAGAACACACGGTCGGCAGTCAGGAGGGGTCGAAGGTCCGCAGTAAGGAACGAAAGTACGTCGCACGCTGGTAGCTGCGTGCTGTCGCAGGTCCGCGTGGCTTGTAACTCCGTAGGAGGAGAGGAAGCAGGGTCGAGAGGAAAAAGACGAGCAGAGGGTGGCGATCGATAGCCAAACTCCTCGCCGGCACGTAAGATAGACACTGACATGGACTTCCTTTTCCCTCTATCTCCTCTTCTTCCTTCTCCGTCGCTTTTTCTTCCAGACCAGATAAGGGACACGCGTTATGCATGGACCCTGGCTCGCGTTCGCGATCCCTGATACCGGAAACTGCCGCTTGCAACGGGTAGCCGATATTTGCGCGAGATAAGACGGATTGCCTGGGTCCTGCTAGTAAAACGGAAAGAGGACACCCCTTTGACCGGCGAAACCGGCTGTTGTCGGACGGAGGAGTCTTGGCTTTCAGCTTCTGGGTACGTTGGAGTCACAGGTGCTAGAGGAGGGATGAAGAAGCGGTTTCGATTCATCCGATGAGGTCTAGGGTAGCTTGGGGTGCTTTTGATAAGTGGCGAACATGTCCGATGGGGTGTTAGAAAGAAACTTCGATATTTGGGGGTGTTTAAATTCCTAAGACAGGTTTTAAGGTAGGTTGGGGTGCTTTTGATAGACAGTGAGGATGTCTGGTGGGTTGTTAATGGAAGACTGATATTTGCAGGTGTTTTGGGTTCTAGAAGAGGGATGAAAGAGCAGTTTGGATTCTTGGGGTAGGTTCTAAGTTGAGTTAAGGTGGTCTCGATCAGTGGTAAGGCTGTCTAATAGTGGTTAGAGAGAGACTTCGATATTTGAGGGTGTCTGGGTTCTTGAGACAGGTCCTGAGGTAAGTTTGGGTGCTTTTGATAGACAGTGAGGATGTCTGGTGGGTTGTTAATGGAAGACTGATATTTGCAGGTCTTTTGGGTTCTAGAAGAGGGATGAAAGAGCAGTTTGGATCCTTGGGGTAGGTTCTAAGCTGAGTTAAGGTGGTCTCGATCAGTGGTAAGGCTGTCTAATAGTGGTTAGAGAGAGACTTCGATATTTGGGGGTATTTGAGTTCTCGAGTTAGGTTTAAGGGGTAACCCTAACAGCCTGATGTAGTTTTGATAAGCGATAAAGCTGTCCCCTGTCAAAAGAGGCACGAAGAATAAGTTTGAATTCTTCAAATGGATTCTAGGATAGGGTCTAACGATATTGATAGGTCGTTAGACCTGTTTGAGAAAATAATTCTCATTTGGAACGAAGATACCTCGTCAAACAGAAGTCTCAATACCTTTTAAATCCCAAATCTGTAAAAAACACCCCTAAGAAAAAAGAGAAAGATTCGAAACCCTAAAACAAATTATGAATCACGATACTTAGAGCAAAATCCTGATTACTATACTTTGAACAGGTCACGTTAATAGTATCACGATTGCACACTCCAAATCTATTTAAAAACTTGACCCAGATATCGTACATATCATCTACGAAAAATTAGTAAATACTTGGTCCACACTGATAAGATGCTACCATAAAATCTCTCTTAAAACGCGAATCCGTGCGACAAGCTACTGTAAAAATCTGAAACACGTGTGAACGTTTCATAACCGAGAGGTACCTTTATGGCCGTTGCAAATCCGCCATATATCCTGTCGATGGTAGTGGTTTATGAGCGAAACTATAAACCGGAAGTTTCGAAGAACCAAGAACAAACTCCGAGGAACAAGGTGCAAGAACATAGCGACTGGTGTATTGGGGAGCGTTAACTCAGCGAACGATTACCACCTCTGGAATAAATCAGGATACTCGGATGGGGGCGTGTGTTCGTCACGTGAGGAGCAATTTCCTCGAAGAGGATTCGCGATGGCTACGTATCGGAGCGCGCACCACCCAGAGTAAATATCGCGTTCGCCTCACTAATGACTGTTCTAAGTTTGCTGGAGACGAGCACGCGGACAACGAACCTTCTCCGGCTATATCCACGCGACATTTCACCGCCTAAGTGGGCTACGAGATTCCGATTGTCGCCTCCAAAGGGTTCTCGAAACTTCTCCTCGACCAACTTGTTTGCTCGAGTATCAACAATTAGGCAGCCGAAAAATACGTGTCCAAGGGGTTAGAGCACTCTGATCATGTGCTGAAAATGTTCTTCTAATTTGTTAAGATTCGACGAAATTCGAAGGGAAGAATTCCTCTTCGATATATGGCTACTCAGCTATTAACAATTAGGATAACGATGGATGGGTGTTGAGAGTTAGAGGACTCTGATAGTGTCCTGCAAATCTTCCAATTTATTAAAATTCGACTCTTCAGTTATTAATATAGATGTTTGGAGGAGTAGAAAAATTTGTAAAATTCCTGGATCTTATAATAATAATTGATCTAATAATAAAAATTGGAAGAAAAGAACTAATATCCAAAGAATTTGTTTATTAGGGTATTAATAATTAGGGGACCGGAAAAATAAATTTCCAGGGATGTCGGAAGACTTGCAATTAAATTCCAAAAATATTTCATAAAGATTAGTAAAAATTGGAAGAAGGGAACTCCTATCCAAAGAATTTGTTTATTCGGGTATTAACAATTAGGGGACCGGGAAAATAAATTTCCAGGGCTGCAATTAAATTCTAAAAATATTTCGTAAATATTCGTAAAAATTGGAAGAAAGGAACTCCTATCCAAAGAATTTTATTCGGGTATTAACAATTAGGGGACCTCAAAAATAAATTTCCAGGGCTGTAGAAAGACTTGCAATTAAATTCCAAAAATATTTCGTAAATATTCGTAAAAATTGGAAGAAAGAAACTCCTATCCAAAAAATTTGTTTATTCAGGTATTAACAATTAGGGAACTTCAAAAATAAATTTTCTGGAGTGTCGAAACATTTGTAACTAAATTCAGAAAAT